AAACTAGAGGCAATTTCAAACATTGGAATTTTTTGTTTTTATTTTATTTCAATAACAATAAAAACACAAGCAACTGAACCAAGGATGTCATTAATGCTTTTTAACCAATTTGATGTCATAAAATCAACATAAAGAATTGCTGATATTAACAATTTTCTTTTCTTATATTGTTGTCATGGTTGAATCATGAATGTACTACAGTTTGAAATATTCATTAAAACAATGTAGCAAGTTTGTAAAACATTGGCCAATGTGTAGCATTTTGAAATTACTGCCATTTAACCATTATTAAAGATATTTTTATTCAGCAGTTATATTTCATACATTTAATACAATATTCTAACAGCTTGATATCCTTTTGGATATATAAAGCATTTAATTGCAATAGTTTGTTATGAAATAATGGCTTGTTCTCTATACTGCTTCTTGCTGAATCTTATAAAAAACTAAATTTGAATAAGGAAAGAAAAATTAGGGAAATTTACCCACGCTTCGACTGAAAAATTGGGTTATTTCATATACAATACAATACATCTCTATTTTCCTGGTATTATATGTTTCTATTTTTTATAATAAATATTTTGGGAGGACTCTTTATTACTTCATTTTACGAGGAACCCATACCCCAAATATGCACCAAATTTTGAGACCCTGGCCCCATGAGAAATTAATTCATGCTTCAACCAAAAATTTGTGATTTTCTGCGAATTTTCTCCTATTTTCAATAGATCAACATTAATCTTATATTTAGTTTTTAAACATTTTAGGAGGACATTAATACGTTCTTAATACTAGGAACCCATACATTTAATATGAACCAAATGTTTAGACCTGAACCCCATGGGAAATTCATGTTTGCTTTGATCATATACTTTTGATTTTTGTCGTTTAGAGCACCATATCATTGTTGTGTGATGTGCAATTTGTAATAAATTGTATTACACGCTGTCTTAATTATCCTGTTTGGCCTTACATACGTTACATCGTGAAAGATGGTTATATAGTACTTTAAGGTAATTCCTTATTTTCCATTTTAATGGCTTCCTAATTGGAGCCCCGTGTTTTTTCAGGAACACATAACTCATTCCATTCAGATGCACAAACAGTGTAAAAACATAGCACATAGTACATTATAGAAAATTACTAACCATCAACTAAAAATCTAAATACATATTTGAACTCAGTGTAAAATTGAAAGAGCTGACCAAGTATGGAATGAGTTCCAGAAATAACATTGGACTCCACTTAAAATTTCTGAACATACAGAATTACCTTAAGTGTTTCTCATTGCTCTTCCTATCTTCTACATTGTGTACTTTCAGGGCATGAACATTTCAGAGAAATGACAAAGCTCAGTGGAAGCTCGAATCCCTTTAAGATTTGGTACAGGCTTACTGGTTACAACAGAGACCATGCCATTGATACATTGATCAATCAAAAAATCATTTCTCCTAAGAAAATCAGATTTGATATTTGACCTTACCCTGCAAAGATGTGAGAAAGAATATGACATCTCACACAAATCCAAACAAAGTCCTGTGATGTATCCCTACTGAAACCAACAAACCAAATCTTCAAGGCGTTTGAGTTGATGTCGAGTCATCACTTCTTAATATTAACCACAGTATATAAATGTACAAGTAAAAGATCCTAAATTTTCCCCAAACTACTGAATTTGTCGCCTTTCAATAAAACTTAAAGTCTTGATATTTAGGTGTTTCTTTGGATTAAGAAGGAATTACCATAATGTTTATTAACAATTATTATGCCCCTAAAACAGACATCATAAGCTATCATAAGCACCAGTTTTCAGTCAAAACATGGGTAACGTTCTCATTGGATTTGGGTCTCAAAATTTGGTGGATATTTGGTGTATGGGATTTTAGTATTATGAAGTAATAAAGAGTCCTCAAAAATGTTTATTATAAAAACATATCGTACCAGGAAAATGGAGACAGCAATTTATTGAAAATCGGAAAAAAATGTGAAAATCACAATTTTTCAGTCAAACCATGGGTAAATTTCCCATGGGATTTGGGTCTCAAAATTTGGTGTATGGGTTCCTAGTATTATGAAGTAATAAAGAGTCATCCAAAAATATTTATTATGAAAAAATAGAAACATATTATACCAGGAAAATGGAGACAGTAATCTATTGAAAATCGGACAAAACTGTGAAAATCACAATTTTTCAGTCAAAGCATGGGTAAATTTCACATGGGATTTGGGTCTCAAAATTTGGTGTTTGGGCTCCTAGTATTATAAGGTAATAAAGAGTCCTACAAAAATGTTTATTATGAAAAAATAAAAACATTTTATACCAGGAAAAAGGAGATGGCAATTTATCGAAAATAGCAAAAAATCATGAAATAACCGAATTTTTCAGTCGAAGCGTGGGTAAATTTCCCATGGGATTTGGGTCTCAAAATTTGGTGGGCAGGTGTTTTAGGTCATGGACAACAGTAAGTCAAATGAGGAAGATGATCCGAAAGAAAGTTGGTTTTTCGCCATATTTTGGACCACCCTAATGTAAAAGCGAATTAGCAAAAGTAACAATTATATGGCTTTTGCTATGGAAAATATAGTCTATACATACAGGGTGGTACAAAAAATGGGACACTCGTATTTCAAAAATGAATATTGATTTTTTTCTTGATGAAAACATATCATATTATATACCAGTGGATAGGGAATTCACTCATCTTTAATTTGGTATATCATAAGTTCAAATTTATTATAATGTCTGTCAACCAGCGTCCATAATATAAATTACGTCATTTTCGCTTCAAAACGGGTTTTCCAAAACTTGCAAAAACCAAGTTTAATTGTCATCTTTATTTACATATATAAACATACGTTCAATATGTCCAATATTTTGATCAATTGTAGCCCTCAGTTTTGGCCTTAACTGGTCAATAGCATCATTGATATGCTGTTGAGACAATAAATTTCACATCTCAATAATTCTGTCATCGAGGGGCTGAATAGATGTAAAGGATTCATGGTACACCAATTCTGTTAGAACTCCCCATACGTGGTTGTCGCAGTCGCTGGGTGATCGTGTGATCTGGGGAGGGATGAAGGGGGGGATGAACCGTTATGCACATTTTCTTTTAAACATTTGACAATCACGTGAGATCTATTTCTTTGAGCCCCATTTTGTTGGAAAATGTAGCGATTCGAAAATGAGCTCATTTCAGGATGGTCCAAAAACAACATAATTGGATCATCCGATGTCAACGTCTGCGACTACCAGGTATTGGGAGAACTAACAGAATTTGTGTACCATGAATACCTTACATCTATTCAGTCTCTTAAAGACAGAATTGTAGAGAAGCTTAAGTGGAATTCATTGTCTCAACAGGATGTCAATGATGCTTTTACCAGTTTAAGCCAAAATTGAGGGTTATAATTGATCAAAATGGTGGACATATTGAACATCTGTTTATGTAAATAAAGTTGACAAAAAACTTGCTTTTTGCAAGTTTTTGAAAACCCGTTTTGAAACGAAAATGACGTCATTTATGTTTTGGACGCTGGTTGACAGACATTATAATAAATTGGAACTAATGATAGACCAAATTAAAGATAGATAAATTCCCTATCCACTGGTATATAATATGACATGTTTTCATCAAGAGAATCAATATTTATTTTTGAAATACGAGTGTCCCATTTTTTTTGGACCACCCTGTACATATAACATCTAACATACATACATACAATTAAGATTTATGATTTTTCAAAAGTAATTTCTTGTAATCAGTTTTAAATTTATCCCTGCTATTAATTTCTCTAATTGAGTTTGGAAGTTCATTCCAAATAATTTGACCTGTACGCTTAATGGAATTTTTACCAAATATTGATCTAAAGTTATTAGCTCTAAGATCAAATCTATTTCTTGTATCTCTATTATGGATTAAACTGTTTGCAATAAAGTAATCATTATACATGGTTGTAGGACATTCTTTTGGTCTTTTTATACAATTAAATACAAACAGAGCAGCATTAAGTTTATATACCTCAAATACATCAAGAAGCTTACAAGGGTTGTCCCAGAAGTAATGCACTATATACTCTAACTTTCTTAAATTTGTAGAATAATCAAAATGTCTCTAAGGAACATTTACTGAAAATTTCATGGAAAAATATTAATTATTGATAAAGTTGGAGCATATAGTGCATTACTTCTGGGACAACCCTCGTATATTTCTTAAAAGGGGGGCAGAATGTGTCTCTCTTGAGCTATTTGAAATAAGTCTCAGAAACTGTTTTTGCATTTTAAAAATTCCCAAAAAGTTAGTTGTGTTTATTCGTTCTATCTTAATTTGTTGTATCTTTATATTCAGAAGATGGGATTCGTTTTGAGTGATTTTTATGGAATGAAATAACATGAATTTAGTTTTGTCTATGTTTAGTGAAAGTTTGTTAACCTTTAACCAGTCATCTAATGTTATGAGGTCATTGTTGATAGAATGAACTAATGACATTAAATCGTTACCAGAACCAAGTAAATTTGTGTCATCGGCAATTTTTTTTAATTTTAGAGTAGTAATTGCCTTCAAAATGTCATTAATATAAATCAAAAATAAAATTGGTCCAAAAATTGATCCCTGAGGTACACCACACGATTTTTCTGTAGGGTTTGATACACAACCATCATATTCAGTAATTTGAGATCGATATGATAAGTAACTAGCAAATTAATTATAAGCAGTACCCCTTATTCCATAAAAATGTAATTTTTCCAACAGAATCTTGTGATTTACGGTGTCGAAAGCTTTTGATAAATCTATAAATATTGCTATGTTGAATTTTTTATCTATAAGTGAGGAACGAAGTGATTCTAGAAAATTCGATAAAAATGTCCAATGTTGGAAATTGCCTCTAGTTTATGAGTGCTAAATCTAATAACAAATAGTATAGGGTAGAGTGTTCAAATCACGGGTCAAAATTATTATCAAAAACTTGTGTGGGGTACTATCTACATATACATATTATTAATTTGGATTCACATATCCCTGCCGCATAGAATCGGGCTTCCGATCCACAATACAGTATTTGATCATACTGATAAGCACTACAATGCCAATTACAATTGTTTGAACAATCGCCTGCACTTTAATTGTAAAAGTGTTTCTGTCTATTCTGTCTATGACTTTATCCATCTGTTCATTAAATGTCGATTTCCTTATTAATAGATCAGTCTTGCTGTCAATATTTACAATTGTTTCTTTCATCTGTTCATTAAATTTTGATACAGACGTGTCCACATCTGAATGATGTTCTTTTTTTATTTCGTAAAATTCGTAAATATCGTAACCCGTCGTCAACATAAGTTCGGACAATTTAAAATCGTATTCCCCATTGCTAAGCTTGCTACAGTTCCTCAGATCACAAATAACAAGGGACGCATTGCTAAAGTAATTGATGACGTTGTAGTTCTTTTCGTATGCATATATCATACATTGTCTCAAGTCTCTAACAATGTTAACACGTTCACTATCGTCGCAGTTAGACATTTTACACTGTCCCTTCAAATATCGTACTCTGAATGTGGATTTTCCGGTGTCAAAGACTGGTATGCCAGGATATGGTATGTTGAGCCATCTTGTTGGTTTCTCCTTTCCGAAGCAATATTTACCATTATCATAATATTTCCAATCTGTACCTTCAGCATTGACGTTACAAACATAAGCGGTAATCTTTGCAAAGTCGGGGTGACGTTGAAATGTGTTATACCCAGAACGACACAGCGATGGAGGATTGTGATCGTCCTCAACAAGATTATCTGGAAACATTCCCCATGTCGAGCACTGGGGCACTTGAACGGACATCTGGATAGAGTCATTCCAGAATGCAGATTTACAAGATCTTAGAGTACTGGTACTATGGGAGAGTCTGTACGTATTAACAGTAGTATTTACATATTCGTCACTCATTTTTTCAATTTCGAAATTGATATCTCCCAAACTCTCATTCCATCTACAGTGCAAACTTTCACATTTTGCAACACGATGTTGTACTTTGTAAAAGTTTAAGGCATTTGCCTTGTCATCACAAGCCTTTTCCATACATCTTTTAAGATCGTCTGTGGACATAGTGGACGATGCAATTAGGATACATTTACTTTTCAAGCCTTTGGATCTGTTCCACGACCTCTTTACAAAATAGGAATTGTAACACTGCGGAATATAGGAATGAGGAAGCGCATATGTCTGACCAGTATGTCGTTTCTCCGGTAGTTGTACCCAATTGTATGCCCAGTCCTTATTTTTCTTATTCGATTCGCATTTAAATGCAATACATTTCTGCCATGCTTCGTAGTATACGACAGTGGCATTTGAGTCGCATGCGTTGGACAAACAAAAATCGAGCGATCTAACACTTTTACCTTCGAATATAAAGACTCGCTTGCCTGAACATGTTGGACGCCCAATTGATTTAGATGCATCACTTCGTCTCACCATAAGGTAATCGCCTACAAATATGTGTCTTGATTTATTTAATAAATGTAGTTTACAGAATGTAAGAAGCTTGTTGCAATTGGTAAGACATTGTAAAATTTTGCGATTCGAGCATGCACCATTTATTTTATAATAGAATAATAAATAAAAAGGTCTATGAGATATTATCAATGGTGAAGTTATTGAAGAATTTACAATTGGGAGTTTCAGTACATGTCAAGCAGTTTTTGCTCAAATTCCACATATGCAGCATGTATGTTTCCTTTTATAAGCTATGAATTTTGGGAAAAATTTGACAAAATTATTCCCTACACTAGATGATTGCATTCAAGGTATTATAACTGTGAGTAACAGACCAGACCTAATTAAATCAAGAGAAATATTTGAAAAATGATATGTGAGGTAAATAAGTAAATGTTTTGTTATCTGAATAAACAAACAGATACATTTAATACATATTTTAACAGAAATACTTACAAGACTTTGTATCCGCATTTGCGAACTGGAAAAGAAATACCACCGTTAAAATTCTGAGCTCCATGTTGGCGAACTGCATCTTTATCATCAAGGCTTTCTTAACAAACAAATTTTCTGTCAACGTAATTTTATGTGGCATATTCGTGCAACAATTTCGTTTCGTTTTGTTAGTAAACAAATCAGTCACAATAAACTACTTATGCTTTAAATTATGTTTTCTCGAGAATTATTTATTAGTAGAAGGTACTTATCAAGTGCATTTTGTTTGATAGCTATTACAAAACAAGTAATAAGTCAATATTATCTAAATTTATTGTGTACCTTTTCTAACTAGATACATACACCGGATTCTAGGGGAGACTTGGGCAAAACGGGACACGGGCAAAAACTGTACTGTATTGCCCCGAGATTCCCCGTTCACCCCAGGTTTCCCAAACCCCCATTTGCTACAAGAATACTTAGTCTTTAAAGGCGAGATCATATCATTTTTCAAATATAAGTTGTAATGTCGAGTGAGCACTCATTTCTTGTAAAATACTGAAAAATGTTCGGTTTTGAATCAGTCTTTCCTACATCAGATCCCAACAGTCGTGCTAGGATATACCAGAAGTAAATAGACAATAAAACGATGTGCAATGTGCATTGCTTTGATTGTGTCACCAGAGGTCATTTTGGTGTAACATTGTAATGTAGATCTAGTGCAAAATGTAAAAATCTGTATTTTTCCCGCAAATACTGTATACACGTTCGGTAATTCCAATTACCAAAAAAGAAAATTAACATGAAAAGGTATGATATGACCCCTAAATATTCTTAAATTGAAACATTTTTTGTCAAGACTTTACCAGCTTGCAAGATCTAATTCTATCTTTAAGGTTTATATATACTTAGCTTAAAGTAGACACAATATGGCTGGACCAGGGTGTTTCTGAATTTTACTTTGATTTTATTCTAAAACAATATACAGGGTGGGCCAAAAAACGTCCACATTTTTGTTTTTGTAATATCTTTGCTGATATGTTGGAAATATCCATTAATTATATATCATTGGTAAGATAATTTAATTTTCAACAAAATGCTGTATGATTCATACACAAATGAATGGCTATTGGTAACTCCATGGTATTTTTTGTATCATGAGGTAGTAACAGTCGAAAACAACATTTTCTCTATGTTTTGAGCTTATTGCATAATATGGCATTACTTAACACTTTTAGGCTTTAACATAAGACAAATTATTAGAGTAGGGTTTTATTGTTTTTAAATCATTTTTTAGCTCTAAAATAATCATGGAACAAATTTTTATGCATCGTATTTGTTATAAAGTTAGATACATTGATATTTGCTTCCAATGCGTTTTGCAAAGAAATTCAGTCGAAATTTTGCCATAACCCATGATATGCATGGAATAAATTTCCCTTATTTCCCCTTCTTGTGTCTATAATTTTGTTGTCTGCCATTTAAAATGTACAACATCATTATAATCCATTTCATGATAATTCTAGGCTTATACAGGCATTATGTCTTGAAAATGAGTAAATATTCAATTATTTGACACAGCGAGACTTATTACATTACTACATTATTTAGGCTATATTCCCAATAGCTATCAAATTGGTAAAATAGCTTTATAATATTGCATTTGTAAATCTTTTTTTTCATTTGATACATAAATCAGCAATTTTGACCTTCCATAATTAGAATTATTTCCCCAAAGCTGACATATGGGTTATATCTGTCTGGTCAGTTCTTAGCATTATGTGTTCAGCAATTGGTAAATGCTCAGTTATATTGAATGAATTAAACATAGATGTTGGCTAGATCGTTTTGCAGTAGGATCGCATAGGCTCAAAGAATAAATCAGAAGATGAGACACCAAATTGGAAAATTTCAAAAAAGTGACAACCCTTCAAAACGTTCCTTATACAAAATGGTACCTGCTTCCCCGTGACAGATTTTGCACTTAATTTATAGCTGAGATCTTCATCTTTCTATTTTTACTTGTTTGGTTCGATTGGATAACCTATGGACGCAGTAATTTGACTTTTAATACGGCAAATATTTTTCACTTGATCCGGGTTCTTGTTTGTCCAAATATCATTGTAATTCTGACGTCACATCTTTGTAATCACAGGAGCACCATTCAGATGTGGACAGACAAGAGCCCGGAGATGAAATATCAATGTTTTGGCCTCTTATAAACGTAGTATTTTTTTATTTTTATTTTTTTTATTTCATTAAAACATAATAACATTTTTACATATTCGTGGTCATGACACCTACATAGGTATATAATTGACCACATTTAAAATCATTAATCTAAAATGTTCAAGTCCTTGAAAGTTTAACACAACATGACACTAGGTGAACCATAATTTGTCTCATGAATTAAAAACATTGGTAAAAAATAATGTACAATAAACAGGATGGAATCACCTTACGTTATTGCTTGAATAACGTGATAAATTAGTGATAAAAAAGTTAAAGAATAACAATACGCTTTGAATGAGGTATGATTTGTCTCATATTTTTCAGAAATGGCTGCACAATCGTCATTTTAAAATTTCGAAATTTTTTTGGCGTCTCATCTGGAGGAATATTTATTGAGCTACTTATCCTACTACAAGAGAATATGGCCAGGATCTATGGAATTATATATATATTTTTTCAATTATATAATCACGCGGTAGTATCTCTTCGGGACGTATCGAAACCACTCCGTCCCGAAAAACCGTTAATTTGAATTTAAAACCTACCCCAGTGTTTGAAAATCAAGGATTGTGAGTCTCACACTTCACAGTTTTTCTTCAAACTTGTTCCGTACAAAGCTTCACAGAAATACCTTTCAGTCGATACATTGTTTTCGTGTACAAAGTACCTCGTTTTAGCGGCGTTTTGGTCCCCAGCTGTGAGATAAAGCAGATTTTCATAACTTTCAACTGTAAGTCAAGTTATCTCGCCAGTTTTTTACCCATTCTCGCCCATATTTTCAGAATTGACTCCCATTACAACCTTCCATCGCTACGTCTTGATTTTTGGGCATCAAACGCAGCAGTTTCTAAATAATCCACACATCTCTTCAAATTTGACCAATACGTCCCGTCATCTTCCACTACGCCCCGCCGAGTCTATCACTATACACGTAGAGTTGCATTCTAAAACAATTTGTCCATCGATGTGTCCGTTTGTAGGTTGCCATTGTCGATTCTAAATACCAATCGGATTGTGTTTTAGGATTTACCCATTCTTGTCCATTTTCAATATACCTATAATAGGGTGGTCCAAAATCGGCGGGGCGTAGTGGAAGGTGACGGGACGTATTAGTCAAATTTTAAGAGATGTGTGGATGATTTAGAAACTGCTGCGTTTGATGCCCAAAAATCAAAACGTAGCGATGGAAGGTTGTAATGGGAGTCCATTCTGAAATCATGAGCGAGAATGGGTAAAAGACTGGCGAGATAACTTGACTTACAGTTGAAAGTTATGAAAATTTGCTTTATCTCGCAGCTGGGGACCAAAACGCCGCTAAAACGAGGTACTTTGTACACGAAAACAATGTATCGACTGAAAGGTATTTCTGTGAAGCTTTGTACGGAACAAGTTTGAAGAAAAACTGTGAAGTGTGAGACTCACAATCCTTGATTTTCAAACACTGGGGTAGGTTTTAAATTCAAATTAACGGTTTTTCGGGACGGAGTGGTTTCGATACGTCCCGAAGAGATACTACCGCGTGATAATTATGATTTATACATTTGTTTGTAATATCAACAATGCTGTAGTAAAAACAAAAATGTGGACTTTTTTGGCCCACCCTGTACATTACTTCTGACTTCCAACCAATTAATTTTTTTATTCACATCGTTTACATGTAGGATTACAATGGTCATAATTAAATAAAAAAATTGGTGCGATAGGAAAGGACTTGGTATTGTATGGCAAATGATTGTAGTCAGACATATATTTGACCACGAGTATATTTTTTACCATAGAATAGAAGGATTTCTTCAATTCCATCCTACAATGACAAAACTGTACCACCTGTCTCAGTTAAATTCCTAAAATACGCAATCTGATAAGATGGATAAAAATTGATGAACCCATTTAAGTCAAAGAATGTTGTGGCTTTAAAGCAGTTAGTTTTTATATTATACACATGTCACCGTCTATCATTTGTTACAGACTCCAACCACCGAACACCAACCACTGAACACCACAAAAGGTTGGAGACTATAACTATGCAAAATTTCACTACCTACCATTTGTTACAGACGCCAACCGCAAAATGCTGAACACCGAACACCAATGAATGCCAAACACCAACCACTTAACACTTTGCACAAAAATTAGGATATTATCAAAATATGTCACCGCTTCTGGCGGTGACATAACTAACCTTTACCCTACGTTCACACCAAATTAGTTCTCACTATGTTCTCGACGGGGTTAAACTGTGCACGAACAGATTTGACGTACTAAGAATCCACTAAGAACCATTTGGAATCTGTTTTCAAACTTCATGAAACTACTCGAACGAGTAGGTCCTCCAGAACTTAGAGGATGATCAAAATTTTCTGGTGATCGTCACGTTCTGCAATCAGAACGAGTGACAACGTACTTAAGACGACCTGGGCGCACTGGGGACACACTACGAACGGAAGTGGCGTACTTCAATCCTACAAGGGACGTATTACGACGTTGTGTAGTCAGGCGTAAATTGCAGCCGTGGGTATATGGCTGGCCATCTGAACCAATGTATCGTCATACTTTTAACGCCGTAAAAACGATTTTATACGCCGTAAAGAATTACTTTTAACGCCGTTAAAAACGATTTTGTACGCCGTCAAAATTGATTATTTACGGCGTCAAAAATAATTATGTACGCGTAAAAAGTCATTTTGAACGGCGTCAAAAATAATTTTTAACGCCGTAAAAACGATTTTATACGCCGTAAAGAATTACTTTTTACGCCGTTAAAAATGATTTTGTACGCCGTCAAAACCGATTTTTACGCCGTTAAAAATGATTTTGTACGCCGTCAAGACCGATTTTTACGCCGTTAAAAATTATTTTTCCGAACACCAACCACTGAACACCACAAAAGATTGGAGACTATAACTATGCAAAATTTCACTACCTACCATTTGTTACAGACGCCAACCGCAAAATGCTGAACACCGAACACCAATGAATGCCAAACACCAACCACTTAACACTTTGCACAAAAA